CTCGATGCCGTGGAAGGAGGTGAGAGCACGGGGCTCCTTGTCCAGGAATGTCAAGAAGTCGCTGTAGGTGGGCCTGCCTGCCCCGTCCATCGCCAGCACCCGCTGGCCCGGGCGCAGTGCCCAAAGGGGTGTCCGGGCACCGTCCTCCAGCGTCGCCAGCGCCCGCCCAGGGAAGCAGCCCCCTGTCTTCGCAGCGGCCGAGTGCTCTGCGTGGGGAGAGAGAGGACAGGAGGGTTACCCATCTGCATCACCCTTCCACAATGCACTGAGTCCCTCTCAGGCTGCTCTGCTTTGCCCAATGTGGGGGTAACCCTGCCCTGGCATCTCCAACGTGTATGTGTTCCTTACACACCCCCAGCCACCATCCAGCCTCTCCAGGTATTTGGTCCCCCAGCCACTGCGTCACTGGTGGTGACACCTGGGGGCTCAAGACATGCATGGCAGCACTTGCTCCCTTCTGTAGTGCCAGGGCACTGGGACTGCCCTACAGAGCTAGGACCCAAAACACTCCTGGCAGGGGGAGCGGTGCACAGCCACAGCCCCAAATGCTCAAGGCAGTGCCAAGGAGAACCCGGAGCTTGAAAGAGCCCTGAGTCAATGGCAGTTTGAGGAGCAGAGTGCCTGGTCGTACTCCATGCCCACAGCATCCCTGTCCCTTGCAGTGCTGGGCTTGGGTATGGCTGAGGAGAATGCTACAAGGAACAGCACAGGGTGCAGCACCCTCCCCCAGCACCACAGCACCTCTCTGTGCTGCACTGAAGCCCCTGTCCCTTCTCTTGCCTGTTTGCCCTTGCACTACTAATGCCATCTGACGCCCTGTCTGAGCTGCAGGAAGATGTCACAGCCTGTGGCCAACGTAAGCCAAAAGCCACCAGCCTCCTGAGTAGGACTTTGCTAGTGGTCGTCACAGGGTAAAGCACCCAAAGTCTCTGTGGTTAGTTCCCTGGGATGGTGGCATAGTGGTCCTACCCCTCCCTGGTTAAAAGGTGCAGAAAGTTATCAAGTGTCATCAGGGACCCATCCTGGCACTTACTAGGGGAATCCTGGCTTCCCAAGCAACAGCCCTGGTCCCCCAAGTCCCAACAACCCCCATCTTAGTGTCTCTGTGACTCCCTCCCACCATCTGGAAGGGACATGTCATGTAGGGCCCAGCTCCTGGCTCTGCATGGTCCCAACCTCGAGCTCCCAGCCTCCCTCAGGGCTCTCTCCCAGCTCCCTCATCTAGTCCCTCAGTGTCCCCATCTGATGGCATTGCTTCCCATCCCTCCCAGCTTTGGGCAGAGCCAAATCCCAGCCCCCAGGCCCATGAAGAGAGGCATCCATCTCTGGGACAGAATCCTTTTATTGCTCAGGTGAGGTGCAGTGCCCACCCCATGCCTGTCCTGGAAGCCAGGTCCCAAATCCTGCACCCCACATCCCTAGGCAGAGCCGTGGGGAGTGGCTGGCAGGACAGTGAGAGGGGCACTTGGCAGAAGTGGCAGGCACAGGCATGGAGAGGTGCGTGGGTGCAGGAGGGGACCCGAGGAGACATAATACATACAACAGGCCACATGGGCATCTGTACAAAAATAAAAGCCATTTACTAAGAGGCAGGGGCAGCCCAGCTGCCCACTGTACATAGCTTTCGGAAGGTCAGGATATGCACTCCAGCCTTTGCCATGCACCCGGGGGCTCCCCATGACCTCGGGGATAAATATGGGGGACCCAGAGCCCCGAGGAGCCGCTGCAGAGCAAGGGGGCTGTGGCCAGCCTCCCGACGGCCTCAGCACCTCAGTCTGCTGCCTGGGTCATGGCATCCCTCTTCGGTTAGTCCAGTATTGAAGAGCCTCCATCCTTCTCCAGGGGCATAGCCCCACTCCTCTGGACAGCCCCAAGGGGCTGGGGTCACGGTCCTTCCTTC